ATGCTGTGGCTAATTTGGAGAGACCTATGGGCTGGCACTGGCCTCCTAGAAAGGATAAGGAACTGACTTTTGCCTGCTTCTTCCTTAGCAGGTGAGTTTGGGCCTATTTCCTGTCCAGTGTTGAATAACTGTTCAAAAACAGCATCATTAAGGACACTACTGCTTTGTCACATCTTGTTGAAATTTCCTGTACAGCTCAAAAGAAAGAGAAAGAGGTGAATAACTGGTGGATAGGCAGGATAGGTGGTACAGGCTCTCTTTCCTTAGGAAACCAAACTGAAAGGTGCTTCTTTTAGATATACTTTTTGAATGGATTGGTGAGCTAAATAGATCTCTTCAGTCACTGGTTCCTAAAGACATGTTGGCACTAGCTTTCTCTCCTGCCTGACCTAGAATGAATGATCTTGAACAGAATGTGTAAGCTGGGGGTACACAACAAGTTGTGGTGGTGTGTGTCATCTGCAAGATTTCTTTCTACCCTTGCATTTTCCGTGCTTTTTAATTTTTGCTATGTGATGCCTGGGTATTTTCTGTGGCCTGTGAGGATCCAGAAAAGCCCATCAGAAAGTTAAATGATCTCTTCCAGTGTATGTTCCTTGGCATTTGTCGTCCACGATTTTTCTCTGCTGTCAGACTGTGCTGTCACCTAGGTGAAGTCCTTGTGACTTCTCTAAGGGAAGTAATTTTGACTAAATGAACTTCTGTGTCTCACATGGCAAGACCAGCAATCCTTGCCGTTTACCTCAGCCGTGTGAGTAATGTGGCCACTATTATCTCATGATAGTAAAGACTTTACTCATGCTGTTAGTGGACATTAATTATCTGACTGCTGCATGTTCATGGATGAAAGCTGTACCTGCACTAGACAGACATACAGAAAAGCATGCTTTTCAGCTGCTGTACCCCTGTGTTCAGCAGTTTTTGCTAAGTACAGTGCACCATGTTCCCTCACTTTTTTGCAGTAAGACTAGTTCCTAGGGGCCTGGATGAGCTGTTAGGTTTCTCCTTCCCATAACAACTCCCTGCTTACAGTTGCCTGTAGCTTTGGCAGTCTTTAATAGTTTGAGCTGATGCTTCTCTGTTCTGTTTCTATTCAGTGCCTTAGGCTGAATATCTTTTGAAAATCTCAGATGTTTCCAAGAAACAATACATAAGGCAATACATTTTCTAGTAATTTAATCCTATTCTGTTGTTTACCTTTTTTGCCCCTTCCTGTGAAGGAAGTGATTTCCACTGCTTTCCCTCCTGTAGGAGATTCTGATGGAGCTGTTTGCTGCCATATCAAGGTTTGCTTTCATTTGGAGCCAAATCTGTGCACAAGTCTGAATTAAATTTTTGTTGAGTGCCACTGTCAGAAAATGCCAAATTGTGTTTATGGAGGATGTGTGATTGCAGAGTCCCAGCACTAGTGGGAATTACTGGCACAACTCCTTTGATCTAAGGAGGATTTTGGTGGTGTAGGAAGAGATGAGCCTGCCGCCATTGATGTCACCTTTCACATCGTTAGTGAGCAGGGCAAGCAGACTAGTGGTCAAGGTGTGGGTGCTGCAATTTGTGAGCCATGTGCTGCAGGGGCCTGCATCATCTTCTCATGACCTTGTGATTCAGCATCTTGCTGGATATGAGGTCAGTTTGTAGTTCAGCATCACCACACTTGGCTGTGTGACACTGGTAGCTCCAGTCTCGCAGGATCCAGAGAAGCCACATGAAGCCTCCAGCATTTAAAAATGAACCTGTTGAATGTAAGTGTCAATTTTTTTACCCTTGCTTTCCACCTTTCCTAATGAGGTAAAATAGAGCAACATTGCATCTGCCACCACTGAAATGCTTCAGTGGCATGTCACAAGCCCATCTGAAGTGAGTGCTACTCCAGTTCCTTGAGTGAGAGCAAGGCTGTATTCTCTGCAGTATTCACCCTGCGAAATGGCATCTTTGGGCCTTTCAAAGCCCCACGTAGCTTTCACTGTTGGCGTATGATTACGTTAGTGCGGGTTTTGTTCAAGTAAATGCCTGTTGCAGTTTTGCAATTTCAGAATACCATTCTTGCTTTAAAGACATGCCGTAGGAGGACGTAGAATAAGTGGACAGGTTGCACCACATCGTGTCCCTTAGCCTGTTCAGGATGCTCCCAGGCTGTAAGGTACTGGGGAGCAGAACTCTGTTCTGGGGTTGCTGGCAGGAATGAGCTTCAAGAGTGAACTCCATGCTTCATTAGGCTGAGAATGCAGATGTGCCCAGGATGACATTACTTCCCACTGCCCCATCAACTGGCACAGTTGCACAGCTTTGCAAAGAGTCTCTTCCCATACTGTTCTGATTTGAAACCACTCTAGATCCGTTTTGTTCAGCCCTCTGATTGCAGTTCTGGCTCTATCTTCAGTGTCTTACCCTACGTTTACTTGCTGAAGCTGATCCTGGTCCTGGTTCACTGTGAGGTGAGGGAAGTTGGTCCTTGCAAAGAGGTAAGGGGAGAAAGATCGCAGTTTAAAGACTCAAAGTTTCCAGTGTATGGTTATTTATTGCTTTTGAAAAGTCTTTACGTGCAGTGCATTTGCAGCGATCATGATTGGAACTGCTCATCTGTTAAGAGGGAGGGTGAGTTGCTGCTTTTGAACACAGAACGTCACAGAATCACAGAATGTTAGGGATTGGAAGGGACCTCAAAAGATCATCCAGTCCAACACCCCTGCCAGAGCAGGAACACCCAGATGAGGTTACACAGGAAGGCGTCCAGGCAGGTTTTGAATGTCTCCAGAGAAGGAGACCCCACAACCTCTCTGGGCAGCCTGTTCCAGTGCTCTGTCACCCTCACTGAGAAGAAGTTTCTTCTCAAATTTAAGTGGAACCTCCTGTGTTCCAGCTTGTGCCCATTACCCCTTGTCCTATCATTGTTTGTCACCGAGAAGAGCCTGGCTCCATCCTCGTGACACTCACCCTTTATATATTCATAAACATGAATGAGGTCTCCCCTCAGTCTCCTCTTCTGCAAACTAAAGAGACCCAGCTCCCTCAGCCGCTCCTCATAAGGGAGATGCTCCACTCCCTTGATCATCTTTGTAGCCTCTCTCCAGCAGTTCCCTGTCTTTCTTGAACTGAGGGGCCCAGAACTGGATGCAATATTCCAGATGCGGTCTCACCAGGGCAGAGTAAAGGGGGAGGAGAACCTCTCTCGACCTAAACACAACTATGCCATGGCTGGCCACAACTGAAGCAGGGACAGGAGGAAGCCAGCGGGTGATCACGGGGAGTGGGGTGGGTTTGTGCTACAGGATTCTGTGCCCCCTTCTTGGGGTGCTACTAGCCTCTTCCCTCCCTCTGGCTTGCTATAGGAAAGGGTGCCTATTTAAACGACTTTGCTAATGTAAGTTAGGCAAATAAACTGTTCTGGATTTTAAAAAAAGAACCTTAAATAGAAGTATTATCTGTGTTTGATGCTGTTTAATAGATGTTTTTTCCTGCTAAGTGTAAATCTTCATGGGTCCTGGTAGCACTTCAGCAGCATTCACAAGCTAATGAGCTGCTAATTGCCAGCCCTGCCCAGGCTAATTAGCTCTGTTAAGAGTGTATTAATCTAGGCAGAGCCGTGAGCTAATGCAGCTTTGCTGCTTCTAGGACTTGGACTTTGAGGTGGTCAAAACTGGGATGTAGATCTCTGACTTTGGGCTGTTCTGCATGTACAGGCTCTGGGTACTGTGATTTCTCCCAGCAGCCCTGAGAGCTCTTCTCCTACTAGAACCAATGCCCAGTCTCCTGGTCCCAAGAACTTGCATGCATTGACTGATTTTCCCAATTAAAACATTCCTACTGTCCACTTCCATTGAGCACGGCAGCACTGTGGATGGAGCTTCAAGAGGGAGAGGTTAGAAGGCAGCAGGCTTGGTGTGACAGAAATGAGACACCCCCTTATTGCACTACAGGGAATAGTAGTTCTTCCTTCTCTCTGGCACGTGCTCAGGTGGGTCAATACAGCTTTTTGGCAGTTCTAGCCTTAAAGCCCTTCACTATTCTTACATTTTGCCCAATGAGTCAGCTGCGTGGAAATAAAGATACGCAGATTTGTGATGGTGCAGGATAATGTATATTTTGTTTTGCTGGTAGGATGCTTTGTCTTTCTGGGACTTAGGTTGCCCCATGGTTTCAGTTAGGTTTCCAGTTTTGCTCTAGAGAGAAATTATTCGTGCAGCACTCTGTCGCAGCCTAATAGCTTTGATTCATTAGGGAAATGCCACAATTCTGTCGCAGACAAGCAGGCAAAATAGCTGCTGTAAACCTCACATTGGTCTCCTAAAATTGGGAGTGCAAGCAATCTGGGAGAAAAAGGCAAACTATTTGAGGCTGGTTGGCCTATTCTACTAAGCCTTCGTTTCTCAACTTTTTCTTACAGCCCCATGGGAACCTGTACTAAGCATTCCCTAGGTGGCTGCATTTGTGATGTTAGTCAGTACTGCCTCTCAGTGCCGCTTTCTAAAGCTTGGTTAATCAATGGCACCACTCTGGGTCCCCTTTATCTGGTGCCCCATCCTGCTCTCTGCAGGTTTCAGTTCAAGAAGTGATAATACACAGAGTTCACACACAGTGAAGAACAGAAACCCTAAAGGGATTCTTCATACACAGTAATGTTGGTGCCAAATGAAGGAGAAAGTAAAATCAAGGAGACTGTGACTGTGACAAGAGTGATGCGATTCAACATATTTATCTGTGAAAAGGCCCTTACTGACATGATATTTTGCTTTGCTTTACAGGTACTGTCCATCACTATGAGCTAATTTCATAGCGAGACTGTAGACCACTTGATCAGTGGAAGATAAATCTCCCATCTGAAGACGGGTTGATTTGGTTCCTTTCTACCACTAAGATGTGCAGTTGGTGAATGTATTTGCCCCACCACCTCTAAGTTAACGGTGTGCCAAGGACAGACGTGAAGCAACTCTTTCTCTGGATATTGATGTGGTATCTTCTTAACGTGTCACGACGCCTCAGGCCTGCTGACAGCAGAGGATATGGAGGCTCTTGAAGTTGATGACGTTAGCCCTGCCTTGGAAGTGACTGAAGACTTTTTCAATAGTTTTGATACTAAGCTTGAAAAGATTGTGCAGCCCTCTGAGGTGTACGGTGTACAGGAGGTCCCTGAACTGGTTGGGCATGAGGTATTTGATCAGATAAGAGACAGCAGGAACCTGAGGAACGTCGCCTCCTTAGCCAAAGGTAGCCTTATCTGGGATCACTGCAAAAATGGCCTCTTGGAAACCAAAGCTCAGACAGCATTCCCTGCCAAAGACCCACGTGTGGTGCAGAGGAGAACAGCTACTGACAACCTTGTTTGGGCAGGAGAAGGGGAGACCACAGCTTTTAACATCTTCAGTATCTGCCAGCGGAGGAGAGACAGGCCTCGCTCAGTGAACGACATCCTGGTGCAGAATGAGGAAGCCTCCACGTTCAAGCCAGGACACAACAGGTCCCGCTCTGATATCAGCCATGTAAACTGGGCAGTGGTCGTCACGGGCACCTCCTTGCAGCAGCCAGCTGCTCCTGGTCGGGACAATAACTGCGCTCTGCTCTCTTACCTGGCGTTAACCGAGGGAGAGGACATCCAGGGAAACACAGGTTTGTGCTGATGCTTTATTGTTGCTGTTGGTTTGAGGATGTTCCTATTTGGTTCTAGTATCTTGAAAGAGGAGCTGCATGTTTAAAAAAAAAACCTGAACAACCCTCCCCAACCCAACTGTGAGATGCCTCTTAAGATGACAGAAATCAGCATGGCTCTGTTGTCTTTGGTATAGCTCTGTCTGTTTGCCTGCCTATCGATCAGTTTTTAAACCAATCTTGACTTTTGTTTCTGCCATGGTTTGAAAAACTAAGCTTGTTTTACTTTTTGCTTCTATTTTGTTCACTTTGACTCAGGAAAAAATATTTTTTTTTGTTACATATTTCTGATAATTTCCTTACCTGCTTTTCCCAGTGTTTTGAATGCTAAAACTACTGGGAGAATGGCAAATCCAAACAAAGGCAGTTTTCATGAAAGTTAAAGAGCAAGCATTAAAAAGAGTGTGTACAAAGCTTTACTGTGAGGCCTGAGAGCTCTGCTCTGTTTCTTTAAGAAATGTTGGCTATTCAGTCCATAAACAATTAACAAAACCTCAAGCATGCTGTTTGTGCTTGTCAATATTAAGGCATCTCTGCCAGCTTTGTGTGGGGTGCAGGAAGTCTTGTTATCAGGTTGAGGCAGGCATCTCCAGTGAGCCATACGTACATAGCGATGTTTCAGCAAGTGATACTTCTTTTCTCAAGCGCTGCACTGGGCTTCAGAAACACTGAACCAGTGTCTGCATCTCCACAATTTATTTTGTAGGTACCAGAAGGGGACTGGGCACTTATGGAAAAGAAAAGCAGTAAGTGCCACAAAGGTTTTATAATCTAAATAAAGGCAGGACTTAAAGGAATTTAAAAATTGGAGGGTTGTAAGAGTGGCTGAAGAATCTCTCCCAGTCCTCACCTGTCGCCCAGCATCAGTCAGTACCTCTAAGGTGCTCAGCCCACGCTTCTTCTATTGCTTTTTGCAAAGGTGCAAGGCATTTGTCAGTGCTTGCTGTGTGCTGTCCAAGAGGCTTTCTGCATGGGATGTTTGAAGGCAGGGGTACCTTCTTTGAGGAGGGAGAACTTCTGTGCTCTGAAAATGCAGTCTTTGAACCTGTTTCTTTAACCTGTTCTGTTCAGCTGCTGTGCAGGTTTTAGAAGGCAGCCATGGTATTTCTTCCCTCTGTCTTTACGAGAGAGCCTGCTGTAGAGTTGGCTGCTGCTACTATGAGCGTGAGCTGAAAAGAGAAAAGCAAAAGCAAAAAAGTAGGTGTTGCAGATAAGTGTATCTGGGTCTGATAATTATTCTTCACAAAAGACTGCAAAATGTATTCTAAGGTTGACTAAAAGCTGCTGCAGTGGTTAAAGGGGTCACAGTGACTGCAGCCTGTGGACACACTCCGATTAAACGATTACAGATGAGATATTTGAGAGCAGCTTCAGCCACTCCTGTCAGTCCTCACTGCGGTGCAGGACTTCCCTCTGGAGCCTGCAGAGGTCTCCCAGTACTCTGAGGCTGGCCGAGTTGCTGCATAGATTAACTCTTCACAATTCTTTTTCCTTATCTTCATGGTGTATTTATTACTATGAGCTTATCTGTTCCTGCTGCTTGCTTTTTTATCATCCAAATAAAATGAAACTGGATCCTTTCCATGTGCTGTGAAAGAAAAGGATCTGAAAAGAAACTGTGCCTTTTGGGGCAGTATCTCCTTAGGCCTGCTGGCAAAACAGCCAGTGTACAAGAAGTGGGCACTGTTTGTGCTAGGGAGCAGTGTGAAGTGGTAAGTGGAGCTAGAAAAGACGGAAGTTGTAAGCAAATTCAGGGCAAGCTTTTGTATTTCTGGGCATGTGCCCTGGCAAACAAAGGGAGAATGGGGCTTCTGTAGTATCCAGCAAAAGCTTGCTTAGATCGTTAAAGCACAATGTGAGCAGTTATTTTTGATAGTCATCTGGATGTTTTCATTCAAACACCGCCACTCCCAAAAGTGTGGGTGCTATAGTGCTTTTCCCAGGTAGCTGGTTTTGTTTGCCTGCCCTGCCTATGAGCTCGGGGAACTCCAGAGCTGTCGTTTTGCTGAGCACCTGGAGACTGACAAACTGTCCTTGCTGCAGAAGGCTGGTGCCTTGTGCCCCTCTCCAACAAGCAGCTTTGGCGGTCCTCAGCCAGCCCCATTGATTTTGGCAGTATATTCTGTCAGAAAGCTGAGTCCAACAGGGTATTTGCAGCACTGTGGGATGGCAAAATAGACATACCAGAGAAAGGTGACTTAAAACTGGTCAACAGGCCTGAATTCTACTGTGTCTGATCAAGGCTAGGATTTCACATCCTTCTTTCAACTGATTGATTTGAAAAAATACCCTCCCCCCCCGCCTTAATATCTTTTTATCTGTCTGGGAGCATGGCCATCATTTGGGAGACTTTTAAGGTATGATCTTGTACTCAGAGTTTGTGCAGGGGTTATTTCAAGAGAAGTTTGAGCCCCTCTTCATATAGCTCTTGTACATATTAGAGACTTTTGTAGTGTGTTTTTGGAGAGGTGAGATCTCTAAATCTGTATTCATAAGCAACGCACCACTGATTCACATGTTGGGTACTGGGGGTGATCCTTGAGTTCTCAGGAGTGATTTTACAGTGCTGCTTTCTTTTAGTCTGGTGACCACACAGACTTTATGTTGGGGTGTTTTCTTTGCTTGTCAGATATCCTCCCGTTTGGCAGCGGTAGTGGTGGCTGGTACTAGCTCTGTGCCTGTGACGTGTGCTCGTGCAGCAGTTAGTGGTGCGTATCGGCGTGCAGAGCAGGTTGGTGGTGGTGGGTCACAGAGCAGCAGACGGCAGTGCCATCCGCTGTTGTTCTGCTCCGGGAGAAGCTGCAAAGAGAGCTAGCTGGAAAGGGGAGGTGTGGCAGGTTAGGGAGCTGCTGCAGAGGTGGAGGTGGCCAGAGGTCCCCAGAGGTGTGAAACATTGGAGGTGTGACACACAGCCTTCATGCTTCCCCACCAGTGATGTCTAAGTAAAGCCTGGCTTGTGACCCATCTACCAGGGAGGTTTCTGAAGCCTGGTTGCCATTTGTGATTTTGCAGAAACACTCCTGCAGCAGTCTTTTGTCTGTGATATGTAGAAGCTACATAGCCAGGGCAGACCAAGAGGCTGTTAATTGCCACTGGGATGGCAGAACATCATAGATCCATGGTGTTGTGCAGAAGATAATGGTGCTGTCATCCAAGAAGCAGATGTGCAGAAGCAGTACTTCTGCACCTCCCTCTCTGGAGAGCAAGAAGCCTCAAACCACTTGGAAATAATCCCAGAGGTATAAAGCCAGTTGGAGAACCGATGCCCCCTCTGTGGCCAGTTTATTTTCAGCACTAAAAGGTAGTCAGGAAGAAGGTAGCTGTTCTGCAGAGGTTTGGGGCCTTTCAAGATTTAAGGAGGTAAAAACGTTGTTTAAGACCCAATGTGAGTTGGATGCCCTCTGCCGTAAGTGCCAGGACTGTCTGTGCATCTAGCAAGAGGTAGCCCCTTCTGCCAGGAGATTAGTTTAAATACACCACACACTAAGGAAAGTGAGGGTTAGTAGGGACAAAAGAGAGGTGGGGCATTTTGCCCAAGAGCAAATGGATAATTTGGATCACTTGAGTTCAGCTCATCTGCTGGATGATGTTTCCCTCTAACCACCCTGGCTAATTCAGGGAGTGCAGCACTTGTTCCCTGCAGGCTTGCTCCTGATGACACCTTGGGCTTGGGCACCCTCTGAGCTGGAAGGGCCATGGGGGGCTGGCAGAGAGCAGCAGCAGCAGACGGCAGCTGTCTTGGGTGGAGGGAAACGTGACCTACCTTGCCTGCGAGGGTGATGGAGAGGTGAGTGTGGTGGGAGGTGACAGGAAGGACTCACATACAGGGGATAAATTCACAGTGCAGGAGGATTACAGTTAGCAGCACTGATGAGCTGATTGTGAAGCTGTTCTGGTTAGGAGAGTTATTCTTTATGGAGATTTTTGCTCTGGAGTTATGACACTCCATAAAGCTAATGAACAGAGTTTTCATCTTCTGAGGCAGTGCTGATTGCTTCCAGTGATGATGTGATGACTTTCATAACTGAATTTTCAGGTTAGTTGCTGTTATTTCCTTAGTGGTGTCAGCTAACTCTCCTAATGTGAACTGACCCTGTTTTTGTAGCTTTGACAGTCACTTTATATCCTTTCTTCCTTATTTTTAAAGCTGAATTGAGTAAATTTATAAAAAAAATCAGCAACTCCATCTTGGTTTGATATTCTCACTTCTTTTTCAAGTGTCACTGTTTTATGTGTCTCCTAGCTGGTGGTAGGTAGCCATAATCCTTCTGTCTCTTCCAGGGTTGAGCCCTGTTCTGGGTTGGTCTTGCACTTTGACTGAATCCAGCCTCCTTTTCCACTGCCCCCATGGCACAGGCACTGTGTCAGTATGCACAAGGTGCTGGTGGTCTGCTCAGCAAGCACCATACAAGTTTTCAACTTTCTGCAGAGGAGCAAAAAGGATTGGATGGAGTGGCAGGGCAGGTGGGATCCTGTGGACTTCAGCTTTTTCTTGTACAATGCCACACCTGAAAGGAAACACATAAAGAATAACTTGTTCAGGTTCTTTATCTGTTTAGGGAGTTCATTCAGTGAGTTGTTGTTTTGGTGGACAGCTAAGCCAACTTAAATAGCAATGCGTAAATCTAAAACAAAGAGTTTGCAAGTTCAACATTTTCAAAGCAAGTTTTGCTTTTCCAAAGCCTAAGGAAGATGAATAAGACTGAATGCCCTTCTGGTGGAGAGAAATGCTCTTTCTTTATATAAATTACTGTAAACTGCTACCTAGTTACAAATCCCATTACTGTAGCGGTCCTTTGAAAAGACACAGCATTGGGAGAAGCAGCCAGATTTGGCTCCAGGACAGCCACCTGCTGCAAATTTGTGGCTAACTATCAGTGCCATTATTTCAGGACCAAGTGGAATCAGATATTCTTGCCTGAAAGAGATACACCTGTATAGCCAGATAGGAAAATAGATGGGAAGAAAAGACTGTTCTTTTTTAAGTAGGAGGGAAGTGGACATTGTGGATCTCAGTCACGCTGGCTGAGGCAGTTTTTCCCTAATTTAGCAAAACCCACCAAACCCAACCCAGTTTGAGAGCATTTTAGGTCTCAAAGGTGCCTGTTCAGTTCTATGGAAACCAGCAAGGAGGACTTTTGACAAAAACTCTCTAACTTTTGCTTATCTCTTACTAAGCATTTGAGAACCCAGAGAGGAGTGCCACCTCAAGAGGCAAACCCTCAGAAACTAAGCATCTCTGCCTCTGCTCTTTTCCAAGTTTCTTGGTACTACTGTAATCCGAAATGCTTCAGTGGAGAAAAACAGGACAAGTTTTCCAGCTGCACCAGCAGGGATACAAGCACAGTCAGTTGTTCAGGAGCGCGTTATCTTCTGGACATGCTGAAACAACATTTGGGCTCCCTCTCCTGTGGTGCTGGTAGCACCAACTGCCCCGAAGTGTGGAGAGGGGTAGGTGTGTTCTTGGTGCAGGGTTCCCAGCTGGGTTGAGTGGGCAGTTCCCAAAGGAAAGGAGAGACACTGAAAAAGATATTGCCCTGTCCCAAGCTGCTCTGTTTCTCTCTGCCTCCTTCCCCCTCTTCCCTTGAAATTATAACTCCAAATGGCTCAGGTGCAGGCCATTTACTGTGATTATTTCCCTTTTTTCACTCTTCCTCAATTTATTCTCCGTGTCTCTGTAGGGAGGAAAAAAGATGCAGTTTCTGTTTGGAAGGTGGATGGAGAGATTTGCTCTCTGAGTGGAAAAGTATTATCTGGCACACCGCACGTCGAGGAGATAAAGGAGCAGAGGGCTGCAAGATGTGTACGTGTAGCATATGGATTCAACCTGTCCCTGCCAGCATCTATTGCCCTGACCTAAACAATACAAAGCATTTGAATTTTAATTGAGTTGGCTGCTGGTTCTGTCCCAGTTAGAGTGAGAGTCAGTGGACCCGGTTCATGGGAGCTTGAAGGGAAGGAGTGGGGTGAAGGAGGGAGAGCGGGGTGCCTCTGTGAAAGGCAGCAAGAGATAGCCTTTCTCTGACTCAACAAAAGGCAAGCAAACCTGCATGCAGATGAAGGAGAGGTGGCTGGGGGAAGGTTACGAGTTGTCTTATGGAGAAGCTTGAACTGTCATCTGTACTTGATGGAAGCGAGAGAGATTGCAGTTGGAGCTGCAGAAGCGCTGCCTCCCTGATTGGATTAATAGAAAGGGAAGATGACTCTAGAATGGCTGCCCATTATCTGCACTACAAAGGGATTAGTGTGGGTTTCAGAGAAATTAATGGCTTTTGAGTTAGCGCAGAAATACTAATGAATGTCAGGGGCAGAGATGTACAGTGAACAAAATTGGCTCTCTGTTAGCGTGTGTGCGCGCGCGTGTGTGTATCTGTCCATTTGGGCTGTGAAAGTGCTTTTTCTCTACCATTTTGAGTTTTAGATTAGGCTTTCAGTTTTCATATTTAGCTGAAATACTCTCAAGTAGCTTATTTGTTGGCAAGGTATAGTTATATTGATTTATTTTCCACCTTTTCAGACCTATTGCCAAAGCAGCAATTTTTAAATTGTTGTTATGATTTTAGTCATATATGCAGGAAATCTTTGTGGGTAAAGAATGCTCTGAATGTGGTGTTGAGGGCCGACTCCATTCTGAGTAAGTGAGCGATGTGAGGAAGCTGAGGCTGAGCTGGCAAGGTGAAACCAAAGTGTGTCCTTTTTGTTAGTGTGGATGGGAGGTAGCATCCTTCCCCCAATTTTTAACCCCTGTGGGGTTTGCATGCTCACATTAAGTACCTCAAACAGTTAATTCTCATTTATGTTCACTAAGTTTAACTGAAACCTGTCTACTTAATCCTTATAAATCTTGAAACTTGGTCTTCACTGAAGGGTTAGCCAAAGCTTTTACACTATTGCTGTCCTGAATCCTCCATCTGCCCATACTTGAAGCTCATGACCAACTGCAGCAATGCTTTCAGCAAAGGATGGGAGCATCTCCTTAGACTATAGGTTACAGGCCAAGTTCTGTTTTCTCACCAGCTGGTATCAGAAGCTCTTTGGACAGCAACTAAGTCCCTCAGATACTCGCAGTCCCTGACTCTCACTGTGAGAGGACAGACAGACTCACCCATTAGCCAGCAGTGGCGAAAGCAGCTTGGCTAGCAGTCCGGACTGTATTACCTGGGAAGTCCAGTCCACATGGGGAAGCAGTAACTTCTATACACACTTGTCTTTGGCTCTTTGTTTCCATGTCTTTGTCATGCCCAGATGCTTCTGTTCTCTTAGCTCTGTGTTGAAGACATCCTAGGTGTACTCAGAGGTGATCATGTCTAAAACTGGTTAGTGTGAATGGTAACTGGTTAAGCTGAGATGCTGAAAATATTTTGTGCCTCCAGCTGTCTACCCTACCCCTTTTTTGGAGGTTGTGAGCCTGAGCTCACAGCCTGAGCCTGTGGTTTGTCACACTGCATGTTAAAGTCAATTGATGCTGATTTTGTTTTGACCTAATTGTGCCAGGCAGTGGGTGAGGAGCTGTTCCCAGGTGGCTACCTTGCTCCTGCACTGGGAATAGCAGTCACCAAGGGAGATGGACAACTAGAGGCAGAAACCTCTTACTTGTGTCTGTTAATTCTACCACTGTTTGTAAGTCAGGATCTGTCACAAGCATCCTTACTGGAAAGGTAAAGTAGAAGTCAAATGGGAGCAATAATTTGTTCCTCAGGGCTGGATTGTTTTGGGGTGCCAACCCAAAGTCAGTGTTAGGACATAACAGTGAATGCAACTGAATTTATACAGGGAGCAACAAAAATCCCGTAGAGCTGCATGTCCAGCCCAAGGTGAAAATATGATGTCTGCATGTATTAATGGTGGCTGGAGTGGTGCAAATCACATTGGAACAAATTTTGCACGGAAACCTTTTTTAAAACTCAGAAATACTTTAGAGAATTCCTTTTAAATTCTTATCACTTTGGTTCCCGGAGTGACTCGTGTATGGCTGGTTTTCTGGGGACAAAGAAAATTCTCCTCGACTTCACCTTGGGCCAAGGTTTGTGAAAGGGTCTACTCTGAAGTACCTGAGGTGCTGAGGTGCTTAGATATATGGGTTTCAGTCTGGGCAGGCTCCTTTCATTTTTGGTCATTGTCATGCTTTAGGGCTGGGCTGGCCACTAAATCCTGGACAGATGCTCTCTATTAACCCCTCTCCCCTCTGCAGAAGGGAAGAGAAAAGAGAATAAGGGAAAGGGACTTCACGGGCTGGAAAATAAAACTAACAGATTTAATAAAACAATAATACTAATACTACAGGATAATAATGTAAATAGAAAAATAATGAACTGTATACAGATATGTACAAATATGTGTACAAAACCAATATAAAATCCTCCCCCAAATGACAGTTACATCACCAGAGGCTCTGTGGAGCAGGGCACTGGAAAAGTCCCAGACCAGACTCAGCAGCAGTGGGAGCAGGATGCAGGAGCACACGAATCAGGATCAGCGGCAGATGAACCAGCAGGGTTCTGCTCGATCTTCGGCCATTGCAGGATCGAATCGGAAGGAAGGGTCTAAAATGGAAGGGCTCCAAGATGGAAGAAGGGTTGAGACCCTCGAGATCCCTCGGCTTTATACTGAGTATGATGTATGATGGGATGGAATTCCTTGTTGGTCAGTTTTGGGTCCGCTTTCTCCCCCTTGTAGGCGCAGACACAGCACCCATAATGAGACAGTGGCCATGAACATTATCAGTACACATTGTCTGGGAAAAAAAACCATGCTGCTAGTTTCAGCAGGTTCAGCCACTTAGAAGAGACTGAACTGAAAAGTAAAATCACTAAATAGAAAATTAGTTCTATTTAGCTCAAACCAGGACAGTCATGTCTGCTGGTCCTGAGCCTGATTCTCATAAGTCAGCAAAGCTCCTCTCTAGCAAATGTAGCTATGCAAAATGTTCTGATCCTGGGGTGTGCTGAAATGTGGTCAGAAACTGCTGTTACTGAGCGCAGTTCTCTGTTCCCCAAGCCTGGGGTAAGCCCAGGTGCTGGCAGTGGGGCTGTTTGGGCAATTCCAGTGGCCCCGTGTCAGGGTACAGCTGTGCCCCTCAGCCACAGGTGGGACCACTCTGGCAGGGTGTGTTCCAGAAAGGGCAGAGCACTGGGGGGAGAAAGTGTGAGGAGCAGCTCACGGTCAGAGGAGGGGAAGCTGCTGTATGTGCCAGGGCAGGGATTCCTCTGCAGCCCTTGGAGAGGACCCATGCTGGAGCAGGGAAAAGTGTGAGGAGGAAGGAGCAGCAGAGAGGAACTGACCAGAGCTTCTCATTCCTCTTCCCTCTGTGCTGCTTGGGATAGAGGAGAGGTAGAGGGGTTGTGTGTGAAAGCATGAAGCTGAGCCTGGGAAAGAGGACAGCAGGATGGTAAGGTGTTGTTTTAATTTGTATGTGTTTCTCACTGTTAAAATCTGTTTTAATTGGCAATAGATTACTTGATAATATTGTACTCATCTGGACTTGGTTCTGAGAGACTTGTAGTGTGTTGTTGCTCTGATAATATTCGCCTGGATAATCTCAGGAAAATTGCTTTGTTTCTCTGTCCCTGTTTCCCTGTCCCCTTTTTGTAAAGTGTTTTGGTATCTCTGGGTGAAAATGTGGTGTATTCTTGTTGGCTCAAGTGTAGAGTCAGTGCTTGTGTTTGATAATTATAACCTATTTAGTGAAAGCTATTTCTGTGATCCTGTTCTCTACATCTATTATGTATGGGGAGATGTATAAGCCAGAATGACATAGCAATTAGAAATTATTATTTTAAAAGAATTAATGCTAACATTCTCATTTTGTTTCCTCTAGAACACAAGCCGATGTTCCCAAATATTCTGAAGAAGGGATACTTAGAAATTAGAAGAGACAATGACAGCTACTGGCAAACCTGTTACGCTGAGCTTTCCCCATACAAACTGTACCTGTATTGCTTGGACAGAAGTGGCAACCAGACTCTTCCCACTGTGTATCCACTCATGCGTTTTAAAAGGGTTACTGTTACTGGTTGCATGGAAACCAAGGTGGTGGATGCTGTCCTGTCAGACAACTCGCAACTACAGCTGAAGGCGGAGTCCTCATGGGAGGCTTTGGACTGGGGACAGAAACTCTGGGAAGCAGTGCGTACTTCTGTGCCTGCTTTCACAGCGCAGCAGGAGAAACTGGAAAATGTGCCAAAGCCTGAAAATAACAGTGACTTTTCTCAAACCAATGGATTGATACAGAAGCCCATGGAGCTCTTCCTATCCATGAATTTGACTGCAAACACTAAAGAGTACCAAAATATTCTCAAATCAGGGACTCTTTATAGGTTAACTGTCCAGAACAACTGGAAGGCATTTACTTTTGTCTTAAACAGGTCTTATCTCATGGCATTCCAACCGGGTAGGCTTGATGAAGATCCTCTGCTGAGCTACAATGTTGACGTGTGCTTGTCAGTGCAGACAGATACTCAGGATGGCTGTGACTCTTGCTTTCAGGTAATTTTTCCTCAAGATGTTCTCCGTCTGCGTGCAGAGACGCATCAGAGGGCCCAGGAGTGGATGGAGGCACTGAGAGCAGCAGCCAATGCTACCAGAAGTTTAACTCAGAACCCACAGGTCACACTTAGGAACAAACCTGGAGATCGGCCCTTTGGAAACGATCTTAGAAAAAGCAAGCGCCAATCTGTGACCACCAGCTTCCTGAGCATCCTGACCACACTCTCTCTAGAGAGAGGGCTCACAGTTCAGAGCTTCAAGTGTGCAGGTAAGCAACCAGACTGTAGCATTTGTGCCCACTCTGCTTCTGTGGGGAAAAAAAAAATCACTTGGAAGAGCATTTATGTGTTTTAACAGCACACAGCTGCTCCCTGTCTCTCAATATGGCTGTAGACACTTCGGTGTGTTAGCCATTCTTTGCACTCTGTAAAACGTGGAGAAAAGCCTATGGGATACTTTGGGATTCACCTGCATTTCACGAACAGGGGTGAAGCATTAGATTCTGCATGTATAACATCCAGCACTACTACATGGGCCGGGACTGCCTTTACAAGGTGGCTGAGTTGTTTTCTTGCCTCAAGACACTGGAAAGGTGGTCCAGAATCAAAGGGATTTGAATTCTAGATATAATGCAACTTTCCAACTTTTAGCACTTTTGCTTCCTTTTGTTACTATGCCTCCTCTAAGTTGTTTTTGGAGCTCAGTTTCAGCTCTAGGTCTGCAGGGCAGACTCTTCAAAGCATATGTGCTTCCCCGAAACGCCATCATTTGGTGATGTGTGTTCTAGTACTGAGGTTCAGCCATGAGCTTATCTGCTCGGTTCTTCCCTTGAGGCAAGGATGAAAACATGCCCTTAAGCCTCTGCATCTAATTGTAAATCTGAGTTCATTTGACTGCCGTCTCCAGTCTGAGGCAAGAGCGTGATTTTACCCAGTTTGGGAATGAAGTGAAAATAGAGAGGACCTGTGTGAATGCAGCTTTTTGTCCTTTTACTTCAGCAAGAACACCTTTATGGAGCAAATTTGGGAGCTTTGTGCTTAAATTGTAATCTGTGGCTGGGTTTAGTTACGTTCACTTAGGATTTGTCAGCTCTATCAGAAACAGCTTTTCTGGAGGGCTTTCCTCTTTTGTTAGGGGACCTTTGAGGATCCTGCCTCCTCCCTGCTCTGCTCTAGAGTGGGGGAGCTGTCTGATCTGGGGGTCTCCTGATGCTCTAGGACCACACATGGCTTTGGGGGAATGGTCTGTCTGGGCCTGGGACCTGCTTGGCTGACCTGAATTCCTTCCGGGGGAGACCTGAGCCCCAGAAGTACTGGGTTGCCCCCAGAACTGGCTGTGGGTATACAGGGTTTGCCCCTCTCTGGTCGTCACCCAAAGGTGTGGTGTTCCTGCTCACCTCTCCACAGTGCGTGGCACCCACCTGGTAGCTGGAGCATTGTGAAAGTTGGCCTTACTGCCGTTAATTATTTAGTCACAGTATTGGGGCTTCTGGCTGTGTTCGGTTTTGTTTTTGGCCACAAACACTTTGTATGACTTCATGTCAGCTTTTTCTGGGAGTAATTATGTGCCAGACTACTGCTGTTACTAAAGGTGCCTGGGTCCTATTGGGCAATGGTCATATCTTACCTTTAAAGGTAGCTGTGAGAGTGAAAGCTGCAGGGGCACTCTGGAAATGGGATTCAGCCCAGTGTATTACCCAGCAGACAGCCTTGTGAAACTCAAGACAACAGCAGAATTAACAGCCGCATTTTAAGATAATGTCCCAGATGACATTAAAACTTTATTGTTTTCTCCTCATTTCTTTTAATTCAAAGCTCAGTAGAGGGAAATTTGTAGTTTTACTTTTGTCCTCTGACTGAGGTCTAGGAGATTTTCAAGTGAGCATTTCCAATTACCTCCTCAAAAAGAGGATCAAGCTCTGGGATGGCAACAAAATGCCTGTCTCCAACATGAAATAGGTTTTAGTCTTGCATTATGTAGTAAGGGAGCAGACTATTCTGTGGGAAATGGTGGATTTCCTCTCCCAAACGTGGGACGATTCATCTGCACTCACTCATGTATTCCCCACAGAAATAAGGTGCTCTGACCACATCAGGGTTGCATGGCGTCTTTTCCTGATACACATGAGGCATTCCCAGTGGTACTGTGATCTCCATTTCAGTCTGCAAAACTGGACAAACACTCTTGTGCAGAGAAACGTGAGTTGTGGAGAGTCCATGAGAGCTGGCCACTGGGATTCCCTGTACGTGAGGATGGGGATGCACAGTGTTCGCTGTAGGAGCAGACCCTTTGCCATCTGCCCGAGACCCTTAGAACTGATCTTTGAGAGTTGGCTGGTACTTCTAGCTGTTACCGCGGTGCAAAGAAATGAATAATTGCAATTATTACTGGAAGAAACTGGGGAAACTTGTCTGGCTCAGAAAGGTTTGTGCTGAGGAGGCTTTGGAGGCACCGCAGCACGCCGAGACTCTCCCTGTCCCTGGCTCCCCGCGGGCAGTTTGCGCTGTTCCCTGGCATGGGCTGCTGTTTAACCTAAGGGGCCTGCTGTTGGTAATTACAGCTCGCAGGCATTGAGAGTGGGTTTTCCCCAGGGCTGCTGGGAGGGGTAAGCTTGGAAAAGGATGAGGAGGGGGGAGGAAGAAAAGTTTTGCTGTGAATTCTTCAGCCATTTAGTGCAAATTCCTGTAATTACCGTCTTTGTGTCCTGTCCCAATGGCACATAATACAGCAGAAGCCTTTCCTAATTGAGACCTTACAGGAGGTACAAATCCCTCCTTTGTTCGGCCTGACAAATTAGTGCCAGAAAATGGCAAGGTCCGAGTGGAAATCAAAGGCAAGCAACACAAAGATGGACCTTAAGGCTACAGTAATAACCGTCTCTAGTCCTGCAGGGGTGGGAGGGAAGGAAAAGTAATGACCAATGAAAAATGAAGGGGGTTTTTGTTATAAATTCCCTTGACATGACAGCACCTCAGGGCTGCTTTATTTATTTAGGAAAAGTGATTAAATAGTAATACAACAGAGCAGACCATTGTCTCTCGAGCTGCCCCCCTTCCTACAGACCCCTGCTGCCTTGGCTAATTGATTGACAATGAACCTCTGATAAAGAAGGTTGCTGGGAGGACCTGATGGGGACAGGAGTTTTTTTATTTTCTCTTAGCAGTCTTTGTGGGGTTCCCCTCCCGAATTTTTTTTCTGTTTGAAATGCCCTCTGCATCCCCCTTTACTTTTCTGCCTCAGTAAAAGCTTTTCAAGGGACTGCTTCCAGACAAACAGCTGACACTCACAATCAGGTAGGGGAAGAATGCGAATGTCTGCATCTTGCTATTGACAGGTTTATCTTGGAGGTTGACTAGCACTTTTCGACTCGTGATATAAGCCAAGGCGGCAGTGTCAGATGTAGTCATGGGGCAGGGGACACACACTGTTGATACACTGGAGTCGGAAGGGCAGCTTGAATAAAGTTTTGTTTTGCTTGCTCAGCAGATACAAAACTTTTTCCCCACATTTCTAACTTACTCTGTCTTACTGCAAGGAAAGGGCATTACTTCTGATTGTTTCCAAAAATGGAAACAAATTGACTGATTAACAGTGGAGAGGCATGCTTTAATAAACCCTTTTACCTTTGCTGCCATTATTTATATTTTTGGCTTGGAACATAAATACATTTTGGAACGTGGGGTTAAGTAGAAACCGCTGGTGCTGAAAGGGCAGCCTTCTCTGTCCTTTGCATGTTCATATAACTGCAGGTGTGATCTTGCCCTGTTGCTGGGGTACAGCAATATTCCCGTGGGAAGTGTTTGGGACTCTGAGCAAGAGTGGCATTTGAGAGCATTGATCTGCTCAGGTGAGACTTTGGAGGGACCTACCCTTTGTCTTCAAATAGATATAAAGTGAAAGCTAATTGCCAGTCCAAGATACCGGGTTTTATGATTTGTTCTTTAATGTGTAGGAAATAAAAAACATGCATCATGCTAGGATGATCTTTTGAGTGTGTCTCTTATTTTTTATGTATTTATTTCAGCTGGATTCAAGAGAAATCCCCAAAACGTTAATGTTACAAATTTGGGATGAGGTGACGTCCATCAAAACGTGTTTGGCAAATGCAGCACCTTGCAGACAGCGGTAGCTGGTTGCGAGTACTCCTATGGCTGTCCTGTCTCCCTGTTGGGCCAGCTATAGGCTCCCAGGGAAAGGCAGGAGTTTCTCCTGGAGGTCTGTAAGGAGCAAATGTCTCCAGCTGCCCTTCACTATTGCTATTCCCTTGGCACGTGCCTTCATGTTTACATGGATGGAGAAGACAAACGGCCTCTGCCCTTGCCTCCTGTTTTTGCTCTTGTTCTTTTGATGTCTCTCTTCCTTTTCACCTTTTAATTTTTTTCTCCCTGTTCTTTATTAAAACATTTTTTCAGTGGGGTCAGTTGTGTCTGCCAGAAACTCTTGTTGCTAAGACAGCAAGTCCTCATGGATGCGTGAGTTTCCGCCTTCTTCAAAATGTGCTCTACACCCTTTCATTTGTCTGCGTGGCTTTCCTTGCTGCTCTTCTGGGCTGTCTTCTGTCTTTTCCTGCCTGCTTTCTCCATGTCTCCTCATTTGCCTAAAGGATAAAGACTGCTATTAGGGCTCCACTGACTGGGCTGGCTGAGCTGAACAGAAGTTGCAGAGAAGCCAAGGTTAGTAAATGGGCCATTTCCTGAGCCTGCAGCGCTGTCAAATTGAGCAGCAGGTGGAAAGCTGTTGACTTTAAGGGAGTCATTCTTCCTCTCTTGCTGTGGGCATGTGTGTAGATGGGGGACAGTCCAGTGCAGCATTGCCCAGCTGGTGCAGCCTCTGCGCAAGCTCATCCCACTGGTCTGAAATCAGCCCTTACTGCAGTAATAGTAAAGTTCTCCTTTTTTCCCCTGCCTAAATGAAACTACTTTCTTAATGGCTTGCAACGCAGCAAATGTAACGGGAAAAAAAAAATTAGCCAGGTGCAATGTTGACTTTGTTCAACTTCTCAAAAAGCCACATAGTTGAAACTTCTCAAATCCAGATAGCGAAAAAGCATGGTGCTCCTTCCTTGAATTTTGCAAATGCTTTGTGAACTGTCATCACACCCAGCCCCTATTTGTAGCATGTCACTGAAATAAAAATACTAGGGGACAAATATTAGCAAATGTAGCACAGTAATAAAATACCAGAAGGTCCTTTGGAAAAGCTGTCAGCACTCTTGTCACATTTTTAGTCACAAATAACAATTGTTCTCACCTGTCCAAGGCTTTTCAG